TTGGCTCCCGCCATCTGCCCTCCATCAGAGAAGTGCCCAACACCTGTGATGAGCAGACCTCACTGCGGACCGCGCTGCTGCTCAGCTTTCTCTTGCACAAGGTGGGCATCTCTGAGGGAAAGCGTGTGCCTGCTCAGTTCACATCCCACCAACACCTCATAGCAGGATTCATTCTTGCAATAAAAATGGTGGGCTCTATTCTATGTTGTGTTCAGGCTGGGATGCAAATGGGACAGTGATCAAGATTGAAGCTATGGGGTCAGAAAGACCCAGTTCTGTTCCTGCCTCAGCCACAGTCACTCTTTCATTCAAGAAATATTTCCAGAACACCTGATGCATGCCAGGTGCTGTCCTGGGCACAGGGAGACAGTGGGGAAAGAACACTCAGTCTTTGCAGCTAAGACCTGGGAGAAGAGACGGTCATTAAACAAATACCCCCAATTTACAGGTGAGATTCAGAGCTCCCAGCTCCAGCGCTGTGGTGAGGGTTGAGAGAGGTGACACATGTAGATCACCTGCTCCTTGGTGGGTGTCCAGCAAAGGGGTGCTGCTCAGAGGCTTGGTCTAGAGTGGACAGGTGGGGAGAGCCAATCCCAGCAGAAGTCCATCTGCAGAGGGGTCAGCTCCAACCAGTTCACCAATGAAGTCAACACACAGCCCTGGCCCTGGCTGAAGCCCAGCACACACAACGTATCTGCAGAGCAGCAGTCATCAGTTCGCACAGTCCCGGAAGCTCTGATTCTGCCTCCAGACACCCCACGGGCCTGCTCCTAGCTGTATACAGTATAACAGTAACCCCGAGGCAGAAATATTCACAGGAACAGAGATTGGCTCTAGCTAGGATGGCAGCCCAATCCCATGGGCAGAACCAAAATGGGCCTTCCAGCCCTGGACCACCTCAGGGCTGGAGGCCATAGGATCTAGGACAACCACTCTGAGCTTCAGAAGCTTGGTCATCACTTCTAAGAAGATAAATATCCTCTGTTTCCTCTCTCTGCATTCTCTTCATGTTTAGTCAAATCAGGGTCCTAGGAAGGCGGCAGAGCAAAGCACATGGGCTGCAGACTCTTATCCAGGGCTGGTGCCTGGATCTCTGTATGATGCTGGGCAAGTTACTGCAGCTCTAAGCAAGCTGCTCACCTACTCAATGGCACTACTAAAGCCCACCATATGGCTATCAGGAGGAATAAATAAAAGTATATCTAAAAGTGTTTAACACAGTTCCTGATTCATTATAACCAGTTAATAAATGGCAACTGCTATCATTATTTTTAAATGCCAATCTCGGCTGTCCTTAAAAGAAGGTTTATTATGATCTATCCTTCGGTGGGAGCTTGAAGCTGGAGGGCAAGTGCAAAGGAATAAGAGAGGCCCACAGGTTAAATCCTAAAGGTCAAGGCAGCCCCTACTGGGAGGGTAGGAGGCTTCCAAGTTCTGCCAGGGCTGCCCCCAGGGTGAGTGCTGGGAGCCCGCCAGGCCTCCTAAATGCTCTCCCCTTAGGGCAGGGCCTGCCTGTCCTTCTGCTGGACTCACCTGGACCCTCAGGATCTAAGTGGGCCGAGCAGCTGGAAGCCAGGAGGAAAGCAACATTTTCACCCAGGAAAGCTCTGAATAGCAGCAAGGAGCCCTGTTTACAAATAAAGCCTGTCCTTGGCTCCACCACCCACACAGCCAAGCCCCTTTATTCCATTTCAATATGTCTAATTCCTCTGAAAGTGCACTGGCAATAAACGGAATTAATCAGCCCTGGATACCCTGGTGAGTGTAGGCAGGCGTTAGCATATTCGAGGGGCGTTGGAGGATAAAGTAAAAACTGTGGCAGGGAATACGAAATGCTTTACTGAGGTAGGGATTGAAGACGGAAAGAACTCTACTAAAGGCAGTCATTTCAGGGGCAAATAAAGCCTTTGACTGCCTGCAACCAAGTGGCAAAAGAAAGTGACTGGGAAACTTCTCTGGAATACTCTTCCTCTGCCTTGATTCAAAATGCAAATTGCTTTACTGTTGCTGTTTTCATGATTATAAAAGTAATATTTGCTTCATTCAGACACTGCATCAGGATGCAAGGAGCAAAGTGAAAATCATCCATAATCTTACGGCCTTGAGATAACCACTGGTGACACCTTGGTTTAGGTCTGAGTAGATTTTTTGCTATGCATATTTTTACACAGATATATAATACAAATGAGATCCTGTCAGATACGTGGCTTTGCAGCCTGCATGTCCCACTTAATAATATACCATGGACATCTATCATCATCTTTTCACGGCTGCACAGTCTTGGGTGAATTACATGTCCTGTGTGGGCGATCAGGCTCTCTTTGCTGCACCAGCCTTATCAGGCAGCTTCTCCCTGCCTGGCTTTCTGCATCCAGCCCCACTGACCTTCATTTGGGTCCTGGAACGATTAGGGCCTCAGCATCTGCTGTTCTTTCTGCCTGAAATCCTCATTTCCTCTTTTACATACTTTTTTGCTCTTCTTTTAAGTTTCAACTGAAATGTTTCCTTCTCCAGGAAGGCTTCCAGGATACCCAAAACTGGGCAGGTCTGCCCTGTTATATACTCACAAGGCTCCAAGTACTTCTCCATCTCGACATTTATCACAATTCTAACTAAATAAACTGTTTGTTTGTTGTTTTCCTTGTCTTCCCACTAGGATATAGGTTCAGGAGGTCAGAGACTGTTGGTTTTGCTCAGCTCTGAAGCCACAGGGAAGCCCAGTGTCTGGCACATAGGAGTTCTCAGTGTACACTGGCTGATTAAGTGGAAGGAAGGGAAGGCAGGCCAGCCACAGATGCCCGCTACTGGCATGCGATGTCTACTTTCTTCCTTCCACACAAAAGAGGGGTGTGCCAGCAGGTTACCTGTTTTGGCAACTCTCTGTGGCTACAGGAATCTGTAGGAGAAGGAGAATAGAATGTGCTCTTAGGGTCAGGGTACCTTCTGGCCCTCTTAGGCCAGGCAAAAGCCTAGGAGACCATCTGGCCAAACTGGTCAACTGCTCACTGTCCAAACAGGGACAATGAGGCCCAAAGAGGGGAAAGGCATGCCCACCTTCACACAATGGTCAATGGCAGGCCCCCAGGCTTCTGTCTCCCCATGTACCAGGCCACCCCGGGCTCTGTCAGGCCTGGGTTCAAATCCCAGGTCTGACATTAGGAAGAATGTATCCTTGGGCAAGTCAGTTTAACCCGATATGACTTGGTTTCTTTAGCTGTAAAATGGGGACAATAGCACCTACATCATCACTGGGAGGCAGTGTAGCAGCGTGGTTAAGACGTGGACTGAAGAGCGTGCGGCTGTGAGTTTAGATCCCAACTCTAGAACTTCTTGGCTGGGTAATCTTGGGCAAGCTGCTTAACACTGCTCCTTAATCTATCAGATGTAAAATGGGGGGAGGGGGATAATGACATCCCTTCCTCACACCATTGCTGCAAAAATTAGGTAAGATAATAAATGTGAAGCATGTACAGTAACTGCTCAATAAATGGTTAAGATGATATTAAAAGCCACCATTAGTCAGAAATCGAGAGAACAGACATCCAATAAACATTAAACATTGTTATGTTAATTAGTTAGTATCTCATTTTATCTTTTCAACAATCCTGAGAAAGAGGTATAATTTACTATAATTACATGAGAGAACAGAAGCTCAGACAGGTGAAGAGACTCCCCAAGGTCACAAAGCAAAGCTGGGATTTGAACCCAGTTTCCCAACTCCAAATCCAGAGCTCTTCCCACTACTCCACGTTTCCTAATAGCCCCACAGACACAGTCCTGTCTGCTGCTCAGGTGTCTCCAACCCTCCAGCCCATCCGCCCCAGTGCTGCTCAGGAGATCTCCTAAACCACTCTTGTCCGCCATGACCTTCCCGCTTGTGTGGAAAATCAGGTGCCCCCATGTTAGTGCAGCATTCAAGGCCCTTTATGAGGAAGACCCAGTCTCATCCTGTGCTTTGTTTCCCTGCCCTTACACGTGGACTAGTCACCCACGGTCAGACTCATGTGGCTCCTTCAGCCAGAGGCTCCCTTTCTTCCTCAAGCCCTTGACCCATCAACCTCTCGCATCCCACAAGGCCTGACTCAAATGCCACCTGTGCCCGTGGTCACCACTCACCATGGCTGCTCCCTTGCATCAGGATTTAGCCCAAATACACGCTGCCATTTATTTAGATGATCTGTGTCCTGGGTCCAGTGCTCCTCGTGAGCAGGGACTCTGCCTTACTCACCATCGCTGCCCTCAAGCTCTAAGCAAATGCCCGGCCCTCCCCAGCACCATGGGTTTTGGAATTAAGACTGCCTAGGTTCAAATCCTGCTCTGCAACCCACCACCTGCGTGACCCTGGGTAAGCTGACTTAGCCACTGCATACCTCAGTTTCACCAACCGGAAAAGGTGAATAACAACCACCTACTCCACTGGGTAGAGTAAGGATTCAATGTGATGATACGTGTGAAGTGAATTACAAATGCTGCACACACAGTTAGCCCTCTTTAAAATGTGAGGTAATAATATTATTTCAATAATTGCTGGTTGCTCTGGACCGGACACAAGCCCTGAAGCTGCCCAGCGCAGCCCCAGCCCAGCTCGTGGCCTTCTCCCTTCCTCCCTCTCCAAGCACCACAATGAACCCTGAAGTCAGGGCAATCACAGACCATCAGCAGTGTTTGCAAAACAGCAGCCACAAGAAGCTCAAACTGGCCCACTGCCCAGCACCATGTAGCAGGCTGTCCTGCTCTGGGGAGAGCTTGGAGCTAGGGGGATAGTGTGGTGACAAGGGTGGGGGACAGCCCCTGTGCTCATGCTGAGCTGTCAATTAGAGGCACGGCAGCCAGGGGACGGCTCCTCCATGAGGACCAGTCATCAAGGTGGGGTGCTCATTGCTCTGCTGGAAATCTGATTAAAATCAGTGTCAAAGACTCCATGCGAAGATCTCCCCCTCTGCTTCCAGCAGTGCAGCTGGGGCAACCTGTCCCTCCAGTGGGAGTCAGGTGTCCCTCACCTTGAGCCCACTGCTTTCCGCTTCTGAGCCCGGGTCCACGCCAGTGATGTAGATACCCAGGCCGTACTCAGCTCCCCCGCGGATCGTGAGGCCCAGGGACCGGCCGTTCCCCAGCACCAGGTTCACCTGCCGGAGGAAGGAGACAGCATTAGAGGGTCTGGAGGGCATCAGGGCATCCGCCCCAGGGTAGCAGGCCAAAGCCCCCACCTATAACGTGAAGGGAACACAGGTTCAGGCCTACAAGGCGGCCCAGGCCAGGGTCCAGAAGATTCCCTGGAACGTTCCCATTTCTACCCCAACTATGCCTCAGACTTGCTGAGTGACCTTGGGGATGCCCCTTTCCTGGGCAGGGTCACAGTTACGACTGCAGTAAATGGAGGACTCTGGAGATGATCTCTAAGGATGCCTCAGTGCTGACAGCCCAGAGGGCTTCGACATTTTGAGTTCTGATATACATTCTTCAAACCACGGCACCACAGGCTCCCTTGGTCTTCACCAGCCACTGTGTAACTTATGCTTCAGCAAGGAGTGCCTGGCTCCCTCACCTTCCACCTTCCCTCCTTCAGATTAAGGCTGTGTTCAGGCATGGGGCTGCCACCACCCTGCCACCCAGGGGCCTCCTGCTCTGCAAGGCCATTTGCATCCTGTTTCTATCCCGATGAGCCACAGCACTGTTGCCTCATTCAGCCCTTGGCTCTACAAACACAGGGTGCAGCCACCAAGTGCGGACCCAGGGCTGGGCCAGGGGACTCCAGAAGGCCCCGACATAGTCCTGCCCACGATGGTCTCACAGTCCAGTGGGGCACAGACCAGCGAACAGACCTTCACAGTACAGTGCGATCAGAGCTGTGACGGGCAGCCCGGGCGCCCTGTGGGCACAGAGAAGGGGCAACGGTCCTGATGGGGGGTGGGGAGGATGGTCAGGAGGGGCTTCCTAGAGAAAGTGACGTCTCGGATGAGATGGGAGGGTGAGCAGGAGTCAGCCAGGCAGGGGAGGGGGAGGCAAGGGCGCATTCCAGGTAGATGGGACAGCACATGACACTGGGTGGGCGAGAATGCCTCGATTCAGGACATGGAGGTGAGTCACTAAGGCCAGAGTGTGCAGTGCTAAGGGGCAGGGCGGAGGCTCAGAGGGCAGATAGGAGAGGCTGGGGACAGATTCTAGAAAGTTTCATAAACCGTGAAGGACCTGTAGGTTAACTGTGCCGTAGGTATGCAGTGGGAATTTATGGAAAAGAACAGGGGCCAAAAGACTCGAACCTACCCCTAAAAGGACAGAAAACAACCTACAACAAGACCCAATGGTACGTAAGGGACCCAAAGAGAGCACAGTGTGGCTGCCCATGGGAGAAGCGATGGTGGGGTACCTGCAGGCATCAGGGGACGGCAAATTTCATGGAGTTAGGGAAGGCCATTCAATCAGCTTTCTATTTCTGGAGAGTAAGTCATCTAAGAAGGAGCCCTGGTGGTGCAAACGGTTAAGGGCTCGGCTGCTAACCGAAGGGATGGTGGTTCAAACCCACCCAACAGCTCTGCAGGACAAAGACCTGGCAATCTGCTTCTATAAAGATTATAGCCAAGAAAACCCTATGAGGTCGTTCTGCTCTGTCATGTGGGGTCACCATGAGTTGAAAATGACTTGATGGCACCCAACAACAACAACAACATTCATCGAAGACTTATCATGTGCTACCTCTGTGCCAAACACCAGGAGAAGCCTTTCACATGTGCTATGTCACTTAATCATCAACCGCCCTGGGCGGAGACGGTGATGAGAACAGACTCAAGTCCACGCCGCCCAAGTGGGGGGCCCACCTCACCACCTGTCGGCTATGCAACCTTGGGCAAGTTACTTAGCCTCTCTGGGGACTCAGCCTCACCTGTAAAATGAGGAGGGTGTGTGCCTTATAAGGTCCCTGTGAAGAGATCAAATTAAGAACATATATGAGCATATAGGGTCGTCCCTGGCCCACAGTGAACGCTCAATAACCATGAGCCATGTTAGTTCCATTCTGCACATGATGAGACCGTTGCGTTGAGAAGCCCATCAAGGTCACACACCTGAGGCTGACTTGTGACCAATTAGGGCTTGAACCCAGCCAGGTCTGCCCACCTGTAGAGCCTGGAGCTCTTCCTTGCTGTGCTTCTCTCTGCCTCTTGAGAGCAAAAGGTGATGGTTTTGTGCCTATCAGCTGGCAGACTGATGGCAAGAAAGAGCTCAATAGACAGAGTGACTCTAAGGGGTTTGGTTCTAAGGCTGGGGACTCTGCAGCATGTCAGGATGGGGCAGTGTCAGAAGGAGCTGCTCAGTGGGGTTCCCTGAGCCCCCTCTAGTTCAAGGCCAGCTCTGCTTTATTCCTCAGGCAGGAGGACGACCAGATTAGTAAGGAGGGCACCCGTAGGGCCCTGACCTTTGGAGGGAAACTTGTGAGCACTCACCCAGAAGTATCAGAGAGATGGATGTTCTCCTGGAAATGGCAGGCTCTGTGGATACTTCAGGGAAGACTCGGGAAAAACTACCCAGCCCCCATGACTTGACCCCCATCCCTGATGGAGTACCAGCTCCAAGGTTGGATAGGTTTGGAGGTGATGTGGGTTCGAAGCCCACCCTGGTCCTTCATGTCTGTGTATTCAGGAGGTGATGTGACACAGTGTGGTGGTTACCTGTGCAGATGATGGAGCCAGACTATGAGGTCTGAATCCTTGCTAGCTGTGTGACTGTGGGCAAATTACTCTACCTCCCCGTGCCTCAGTTTCCTCATCCTTAAAGTAGAGGAAACAACTACACCCACTTCATTGGGTTGTTGTAAGGAATGAATGGGTCCATGCATGTAGAGCACAGAACACTGCATGGCCCAGCAGAATCACTCAGAAAATGCTGGCTACATTATTGTCTTCTCATGGCCATCGTGGGTAAGCCTTTGGGCTAAGCTTCTGCAGGTGCAACCTGGAAAGAATGGCGAGGCCTTCCTCACAGGGAGGAATGTGAGCTGCTTTACAGCCAGGGACAAGCTGGGCAGATGTGAAGTGTCCAGACATTAGCCAAGCCTTGACCTGTGCCAGGCTCTGTGCTGGGCACATATTCAGAGAACAATCTGACTTGGTCCCTGCCCTCGAGACACTCACAGGGACATCCCAGTGTGGTAAGAAAATGCTGCGAGGAAAACCTGGAGCTGCTTGTGCCACTGCGAAGGTATGATGAATCCCCGTTCAGGAGGGGAGTGTTGGCCGCTGGCGGCTCACAGCCGAGTCCTCTCCGAGCATTGCCCTGGCCTGAAGGGAGCTGCCTCACCCAGTGCCACAGCCTTCCATGGGAGCAGCCTGCATCCAATGACTATTTGACTGGGGGAGGGTGGAGGGACCAGGACCCCTTGCCTCATTTCAGGACAACCCTGCAGGGCCACGCAAGCTTCAGAGCTCCGTGGGGTTAGCTGAAGCCTCTGTTGTGACTGCACTGCACCCAACTCCTCCCTCTGCCCAGTCCTGCATCCCTTACTCCGTCACCAGCACTGACCCCAAAAGGCTGCTGTAACAAATTACCACAAGCTTAGTGGCTTAAAATAATACAAATGTATTATCTTACAGTCCTGGAGGTCAGAAGTCTAAAATCAGTGAACAGAACTGCATTCTTTCTGGAGGCTCTAGGGAGAATCCATCTCCTTGCCTTTTCCAGATTCTAGAGCTGTCTGCATTCCTTGGCTCATGGTCCCTTCCTCTATCTTCAAAGCCAGCAGTATAGCATCTTCCAATATCTCTCTCTGCTTCCATCATCACAGCTCCTTTTTCTGACTCTGGCCCTCTTGCCTTCCTTATAAGGACCCTTGTGGTTACAATGGGCTCACCTGGATAAGACAGGATGCTCTTCCCATCTCAAGATCTTTTGCCATGTAAAGTAATATATTCACAGACTTTCGCGGTGAGGACATGGACACCTTTGGGCGTGTGGAGGGATTCTATCTACCGCAGGCCCTCTCCCATAAACCTCTTTCAGGAAATCTCAGGCTCAGGGTCCATTCTTGAGAGCCTGACCTCAGGCAGAGCTTCCCAGAAAAATGGTCACTGAGCCCCGAAGGCTGAGGGTCAGCTAGGAAAAGAGGAGAGAAGATGATTGTTTCAGGGGCAAGCGCATGTGCAAAAGCCCAGAAACAGAACAGAAAGCGGCCTGCTGGAGAAACCACAAGGGTTCTGTATGGCTGTAGTGGGACGGATGAAGGGAAGAGGTCAGCCTGCGAACCAGGGCAACAAACTTGGGCTTCAAGCAGGAGAGCGATAGGGTCAGACCGGTATTTTAGAAAGACTATTTCTGGGGGAGCGGGGGACAGGAGAGGGGGTAGCCCTCTGGAGAGTGAGAGGCAGCCCACATAGTTAAAATAATACACTACCCCTAATAATATTAGTAAGTCTCTTAAGTGCACTGCTTCCTATGTCCCACATACCTACATGAGAGGGCGTGTGCCCAGAGACAGTGGGGGTGAGGAAGTGGTGTCCAGACCAGAGGGGTCAGCAAGGATGGCTGAGGAGAGAGTAGACAGCTCCCGCCTCGAGCCCTCACCACGGCCAGGCAGGACAGACCCCTCTTCCATGCTGTACCTTCAGGGCAAGGAACAAGCCTGGCCTGGGGTCCTCCATGGCTCACAGGGGGCCTGGAGGTCAGTCCCTCCTTCACCACCCCAGAACATGAAGGGTCCCTCGCAGCTCCAGGACACGAAGATTCTTATGGGGAGAGAGCTGAAGGAGTGCCTTTGCAGCCCAGGAGCACACAGATGGCAGTGGTCTCTGCAGCAGCCACCTCTGAATGCTAAGGATGAAAGCAAACCTCCCCACCTTCCCATAAATCCTCTACATTGGAATAAAGCAGAGTCTTTATCACAGAGCTGTAATAACAGTTCTATCAACCACAGGGTAATCTGCCTTAATCACTCGCTGGAAATTCACCCAGCATTTGGCATGAAACCGAGTTCACCTATGGAAAAGCCAACTAAGGCTTATTGAGCCCATACTATGAGAGGCAGCCAAGCATGGTAAAAAATAATACCACCACCACGAATAATATTAATAAGTCTCTAAATGCACTGAGTGTTTCCTATGTCCCTGGCACTGTGCTCAGCACTTCATGTGCATTGCCT